GAATCTGTTCCAGACTGCATTTGTCTTTTGCCGAAGCTCTGGCTTTGGCACAAGATAGGGAGTGTTTGAAGCACTGTCTGCCGTGTCTATCTCAGCGAGCCGAAGGGTGAAGGAGTCTTGGAAAAGGTAGATAAGGATAAAATATTCTATATATTGTGTCGAAATCGTTTCGATTCCTGTTTGAGATCATTTATCCCTTTATTTTACTTTTGTTTTGACCCGCAGGTGGATTCTTAAGTCGATTAACTTCTTATTGGCTCAGCACTGACCTAGTAAAATATAGTGAAGCCATTTTTTAGCTACTTTATGGCATGTGTCAGATGTTAAAGAGCAACTTCATTCAATCGCAGTACAAGTATTTATGGCTTACCATAATCAATACTTCCTACCATGATTATTTTTAATATATTGTTTCTTTTTTATGTTTTCCATACGATTACGTTAACCACATTGTTGTGGTATATTTATAATATGATTTGCTTCTCAGTGGTATGTTCAGGGGTCAAACTTTCTCCTGCTTATGTAAGAACGATTCTTCTGTCACTTTACTGATTTAAATGGGTAAAGCTAATCGTGAATTTCCTGTCAGGTTGGAGCTGACAGTTTTGGAAAGAATGCGGTCGAGAACTTCACGCGCATGGGTGTCAATTGCGGTACGAAAAAGTTACTAGATGAAGGGCAAATACCAAACTTCTGTTGTACACTTCAGACTTTGTTGGAATCAGCCCTGACACTCCGACTTCCACGGCGACAATTATAGTCAATACTTCCTCTGGTGAGTACCGACATTTATCCAGAAGGGGCAGTTTGCTGCGTTACACTGTTTGACCCATTTGCCGTTTCAGGGCAAAACTCAATCGTCGTCTGTCTTGGAGCAAACCTGTGCCTTTCGGTGGACGATGTCAGGAAAGCTGAATCGTACATTGAGAATTCCAAAGTATTACTCTGTCAGTTGGAGGTAAAGCCAGAAGTATCTCTTGAAGCACTCAAAATTGCCAAGAAGCACGGAAGTAAGTTTATGAATAAAAGCCACGGTCTGAAACTACTAAACAACAATAAGCAGTCAAATTGGTCAATAATTGAGCATTATAATCACTGATGAGTAATGCGTCAATAGGAGTATTTTAAAAACAGCGATAACATGGTTAAGTAAAGTTTTACAGATGAACATTTGATTGCGAGTTGAAGTTCAGGCAATTAGTGTCTGGTATTTTCCAACCCATAATTAAAAAAACACAAAAATACAACCGCGCACCTGCTCCTTCATAATACGGAATTTTCATGACACTAGCCACCGAAATAAGCAAAAAGTAAGTATAATCCATGAATCTTGAATCAATGATGCAATCGAATCCTTTATGAATTCATGTATGAATACTTATCGCCCATCATGAACTAAACAACAGGTGCAATAAATCGCTTGTGTTTTCTGCTCACCAGGCTTTCGTGATATTTTCGGTCGAAACCAAACGGCATCTCCATCACGAACGAAAAACAATATGGTAAATGATCGTAATTTAGTAGAGACTATTAACACAAACCGTTACACAAATTCTCTGGCGTCGAGTCATGGTAAGACGGTGTAGTGGCACAGTGCCTAAGACATCGACTTCGAATTTTTGGGCGCAGTGCTCGATGCCGACAGAGGAGCTATCTTTTTCTTAACCATGAATTTCACAGAGCGATGAATTTACCACATGCTACTTGAGACCAGACCGGGCTTGCTGAATCAGAAGACATTTTTTTCCAGCGCTTATCAAATTCGTTCACCTTTGTTCCTTCCGAGGTTGATAAATGAATACCGCTCAGTAAAGTAAAAACAGGAGGTTATACACCCACGCTTGCGTATAGCTACTGTTGATTCTGCCTTTGAAATAAAACATTTCATGCTGACGGCATGGAGGTGGAAATTAACGACCTGCCACTAACTTCATGAAATGAAGGGTACCTGAAATGGACCCATCATTAAAACATAAGAAAGACCGACATTCCAACGGTAACAACCTTTCTTTTTATATTTGTTATGGTATAACAATCTTATTTCCAAGGAAGATTACCTATGAGAAATAGCATAGTGATATCTGCCGCACAGAAAGCATCACTGCTTCCTGTGCGAATTATTTCCAGGCTCATGACGATTGCCTGTGGCTACCCTCTACTAGTCGCATTTCTCTCTCTTAAACGATTATCCATTTTGATGGTTATCATTTTTCCGCACGTAATGGCGGAGGTGGATCATTGAGGAACAAAAAATTGTTGCGGAATGAATGTTTATGCCAATTAGTGATGCTGGGTATCTAATTACCTAAGGTATTGGATCAGACATATAACTTTGGGACTCACAAACCCTTCACTGCGCTCAGTTTCGATGACTGTTTGAAATTCTGCCAGTTTTGAGAATCGCTTATTCTGGTGGGTCACGGAGGCAGATGGGTCAGGTTGCGTCTCGAAAAGTTTTGATCCTGTACCAGCGTTGAGATTCAGCAAAAAATAGCCTGGATGTGAAGCAGACTGTATCGAGACACTTGCCCCAGGTCATTTTTGCCTTTTCTGGGGTCTTCGGCCAGTTGGTTGAGCAAATAACAGATTTTTCGCTTTCCCTTCTGCAAGCATTCACAAACCAACGTCCCTCACTGCATTCATACATTGAGCCTCGCATGATTTCTTGCTCTGATGTTTCGTTGGATTCTTTATTTTCTTCTTGTTTTTCAGTGCCTGTTGAAAACAGTTTAACTATCACAACCTACTGCAAAATAGAAATATTAAACAACCATTGAAATATTTTTGTGTTTATTTTAAATATGCATTTTCAGTTATGACAATTTTTAACCCGGCTCCAGCTTTGCCAGGACTGTCTGAGGAACTGTGGAAGTACAGCGATATCGTGTGTCCAAACGAAAATGAGGTATTAAATTCACAATAAATCAGTGCGCTGTTCTGATGTTGTTCTGGCTAGAGTCGTCTTCGTTCATCCTCTCACTGAACCCAACTTTGTTTCTATTTCACAACATGCAAGTGAACACCAAATTGGGGCGTTCCATGGTTGTTTTTCAGTGGTCGCTGCGGTAGAGGATGAATGCTGGTTGTTAACTTTTTTATGACGGACGAACGACAGTGATAAATCTTCTTTTGAAACCAATTTGTTCTGGTGATTGACACTCAAACGATAAGCAAGTTCAAAAGGTGAGAAACAGCATTAAACACGGTTTAACATTACATAATGCTACAGAAGGCCT